AAAGAGGGAATTATTTAGAAAAATACGTCTGAAAACCAAAATAATAGGGATTGTCAGTATTCATTTTTTTAAGTGCATGTAATGCAGAAAAAAATAAGTATCGCCTAAATCGAACAAAACTAATTTGCAGCTAACAATACATTCTGCTTAGCGGAGAAGGCATTTGGAAATAAGCAGCACTTAATAATTAGAAAATAACTTAAACCATGGATGAAGAATATACATGTATCAGCTCTTTCAGCACTGGTCGTTCGACTCGTTATAGTTTGATGCATGGATGCGTTGAACACTCTCATCCACGTCCATCAGGCAAATTATCAGTCAAAGAGAATTATTAGGGTTCACGTTTGTAGATATTTACCCCCATTTTTCCTTTCGAAAACTGTGAAAAAAATATGTAAAAATGCAACAAGATATCCTTACCTTTAAAAAGGGGGCACGTTGTGGTAGGTCTCCTTACCCAGGTCTGTATTTATTACAGTATAGAGATTTACACACGCTACAGTCGTGTGACGGGTGTCGAGGGCCATCGTAGATAGGACGACGAGGGGTCCTTGTTTTAACGACTAACGCGGGCTTGTTACATATTGTACAGTACATTGGGGTTCTATCGACAGGTACAATACATAGATTGGGAGGTGGTCACTTCAGAGTAGTTATCGGGTCGGACGATCGGGGGGCCATCAGGCGAGACCTTGTTACATTCCATATCCCGGGGAACAAGTGTGCTTAGCGGAGTGGGGAATGGTGTATTGCGCTTTGTGTATGATATGGAGTGCACAATTGTGAAGTGATCTCATCATGGGTATAAACAAATAACAAGGACCCAAGCGAGCAGACACGAATCACCACCACAAAGACATCTTCCTTATCAGATATGTGTTGTTTGGTTTTTGTGATCCATATTTATGTATACAAACTAGGTGGCGAGGAACTAGTTAACATAGCTATGTACTTTATGTTACATAAGTGTGATTACAATGTATACAAAACTTTGGTGTATCACCCGAGGACAACGCAATGCTCTGTTTATCATCTGAGTTATGCCAGACGTATACCGCCAAATGATTAACATACGTTTTACTTTAAAACCCACTGAACTTTGAAGATTAACAGATACTTTTTGAATACAAAATTGCATCGGGGAAATAGTTAAGCATTGAACTGTTTTTGAACGGTATTTATGATCTATTTGAATGACACAGGTTTGCAAGCAAACAACATAATTCGCGCTAGTGCATTATGATTTGTTTGCTTGCAAAACTATGTCATTCAAATAGATCGTAAATACCATACAAAACCAGTTCAATGCTTATATTTACGTTTTCTCTGCCTCTTATGTTCTTTTTTCACTTATAATTTATATTTAAAATTAAAAATGCCCGTCTTATCGACAGTCCACACAATTTTGTTCAATAGTTTGAACAGCGTATTGTCGCGTGCTGATTGCCAAACAAAGTAGCACTTTGAAATTTTAACAAAAGCCTCAATTTTATTCCACAATTCCGTATCAATACAATTGCGTATGATATGTCTATAGGGGGATTAAAGTTTATCAATAGAACTCTGAGCTGAAAGTTAGATTTGAAATTGTTTCGATTTTTCCCCGGAACAAATTTCGCGCATGGACAAATACAGTGAACACCGTAAATCCGACCTTGCCCTCCACGAGGGAGTTATTTTTGGAAGTTAATTCGAACTTTTCTCTTTGCTCATTTGTGAAAAATCCAGGCGTGAATTTATTTGTTGATTGTATGGGAACCTGACAACAGTCGGTAGATTCTATAACAGCCTCGTTATTTGACATGTCGTCAGAAACTGAGGAACCGTGGATGCGAGACGCGTGAAACTGATAGCGTTTGAAGTGAGTGATCTTGCGACGGAGCACAGGTTCGTTACAAATGTCTGAAATGTTTATGTGTGCTGTGACTCATATCAGTAGGTCTGTAACATATGTGTCAGTAGGTCTATAGAATATGTGTATTTCAGACATTTGTAACGAACCCCTGTTGATCAGTGCAGTGTAACAGACGATATTTCTGATAAATTGCATGAGCGTTAAAATTGTTTCCATTGCCGGCATTGGTGATTTCAACCGATGTGCATTTTGTACGATATTGCAGACCTTGGTCTTGTTTTCGTTGTAATAAAAGTGTTTTTTATTTTATTTTTTATTTTGCACATAAATTTACAATGACATTGTCAAATCTCACAATGCCCAGCGATATTTCAGCAGCCGTCGTGTTTATTTATATTGGATATTGTAGTTCCGGTCAGTGTTGTATTAATACGCTAAGAATTGTGTCTCGTGATGCATGGTAATTAAAGTCCCATCAACGACACAGCTTTCAAAGAGGCTATATAGTGACAATGCCATGCAAATGTAAATATTATAAGTTAAAACCATTGAAAATAGCGAGACAAGGAAGAATGTCAAAAACACACATTACGATGTTCGAAGGATATTCGATTCGCTATATTTTTCAGCCATCAACTTACCAGGTTACACTAACGATATCCGTATCTTTGTGATTCTCTTACGGTCCCCTAGGTACCTGTACATGTTCTATCGTAATTAAAGGGGTGATTCTCTTACAGTCCCCTAGCTACCTGTTCATGTTCTATCGTAATTAAAGGGGTGATTCTCTGACGGTCCCCTAGCTACCTGTACATGTTCTATCGTAATAAAAGGGGTGATTCTCTTACGGTCCCCTAGGTACCTGTACATGTTCTATCGTAATTAAAGGGGTGATTCTCTTACGGTCCCCTAGGTACCTGTTCATGTTCTATCGTAATAAAAGGGGTGATTCTCTTACGGTCCCCTAGCTACCTGTACATGTTCTGTCGTAATTAAAGGGGCGATTCTCTTACGGTCGCCTAGGTACCTGTTCATGGTCTATCGTAATAAAAGAGGTGATTCTCTTACGGTCATCTAGCTACCTGTACACATTCTATCGTAATTAACGGGGTGATTCTCTTACAGTCCCCTAGCTACCTGTCCATGTTCTGCCGTAATTAAAGGGGTGATTATCTTACGGTCCCCTAACTCCCTGTACATGTTCTAACGTAATTAAAGGGGTGGTTCTCTTACGATCCCCTAGCTACCTGTCCATGTTCTATCGTAATAAAAGAGGTGATTCTCTTACGATCCCCTAGCTACCTGTACATGTTCTATCGTAATTAAAGGGGTGATTCTCTTACGATCCCCTAGCTACCTGTACATATTCTATCGTAATTAAAGGGGTGATTCTCTGACGGTCCCCTAGGTACCTGTACATGTTCTATCGTAATTAAAGGGGTGATTCTCTTACGGTCCTCTAGCTACCTGTACATGTTCTATCGTAATTAAAGGGAAACTGATAATTAATTCGGAATGTGGATTAGTTTGAGGAGTTAACACAAATTATAGAACTAAAAATGACACTCTCTTGTTTGAAGAATATCTTTTGGGAATAAACACAAATTATATAACTAAAAATGACATTCTCTGTTTTTTAGACTATCATTGTCAGAGTCAAATATTTCCAAACAATAAACTAAATTGACAATAACTGCTATGCTCACTGTATAACTATAAGCATACGTAAAGATACAGATTATTCAGGCGATTTGCGTAAGAGCTATCTCCCTTCAAACATTTTTGTGACATGATTTACTGACTGAAGATTGTTCCAGTATTTGTAATAATCCATATGATTTTGAGCACTTTTCAGAATTATCTTAAATTGATAAAACATATTCCAATTTGTTAATCATATTGAAAAGTTATTTCTTAATAAGAAATGATTAAGCAAATGAGATGAATGTCAGAATAAGGTACCATATATCCTTTATTCATGCGTACACGATCTGCTTATTGCATTTTGTAGCATAAAACACAATACAGCTACTTGTTCAATAATTTCAATAAGGATAATCAAAAGTACGCTGTCGGTACTAAATGATATGTATGATTTCCAAACCGTGGAGTATTATCTATTTACACGATCAAAACTGGCGCTAATCATTACTGTCCCAGCTTAGAAGTGTTAATCAGCCCTCCGTATTATTTACATCACAGGAACCGTACACCCTATACGTGCGGCCTTATGGTCATAGATCTACAGTATACATTGCCCGATATAAAGGAGGAGTGGTACCGACTACAGAGTAATGTACATGAATCTCATTAATGTGCACTTTTTTTTGTTTTTGAAAAAAGAAATATCCGAAATGACTTATTCGGATATATGAACAGAATTTACCGCAAGAAGGTATATATAATCTGGAATTACATCTAACTGGAAGGCAAGCGTTTCATATTAACAAGGTCACTGAAGTATATCGCTAGATTACACATAACGGTTTTCTTAGCCTGTTAGACTGAATTGCGTGTTCATATCAAATTTGAAAAAATACAAAATTGACACTTCAAATGTCCTACAAGAATCATTAGTATTTATAAAAATTATATCGTTGTATGGCATTAACTTTACTGTTCATCTACGTAACGTATATCCCACCTCGCTTACACGAAACATTAATATAGCGGTGTCATAGATGCACTAGCGTGGTGACCTATATTTCGTGAAACATGTGGTTAAAACATAAATAAAATGACAAAGTGGTTTTCAAATGTAGTATTAAAAAAACCATCATAATTTCTGACATTTTCAATGCAACATTTCTGATATGTTCTTGAAAACACGTATAAGTGAAAGTCCCACAATCACCACTGTCCAGTATCTCCGATATTGTCAACTACCGACTTCGTTAATTTCTAGTGCACGAGCACTGACACTCCACAAATGCGATTACGGTGAATGATAATCCCACAATATGATTTCGTCTTCGCACAATGAACGGAATTATTTAAAAATATCTTTCGCTGTTCCGAAACTAAGTGTCATAAATGCATGGATGAAATGAGATTATGAAATTGTACAAAGAAATTTATGTTCCAAAACCCCCCACCTTTTTCTAAAAGTTGAACTGTTCGAACAAATAACTCCTGTCGGGGTCTACGCCATAGTTGAGCATATTCCATCCTCGTCCTCGCCATCCTCTACCCCTCCCTCTCCATCCTCCTTCGCCTCGACCTCCAAATCCTCCTTCGTCTCGACATCCCCATCCTCTTTCGCCTCGACCTCCCCATCCTCCTTCGCCTCGACCGCCAAATCCTCCTTCGCCTCGACCTCCCCATCCCCCTTCGCCTTGACCTTCCCGTCCTCCTTCGCCTCGACCTTCCCATACTCCTTCACCCCGACCTCCTCGTCCTCCTTCGCCTTGACCTCCCCTTCCTTCTTCGCCTCGACCTCCCCGGCTTCCATCTGCTCGACCTCCCCAGCTTCCATCGTCCTGTCCTCCCCGGATTTCATCACCGTCCCTAGCTCTCCATCTTTCTTTGACCCTTCCATGTTCACTGAATCTCTCACCATGACGCATTCTTTCTCCAACCATTTCACGGAATATTTCACGCCGACTTTTCCCTTCCTGTTGTAACCTTATCCATTTTTGCATTACTTCCGGTGGTGGTCCAAAACCATAGTTAAAATGAGGCCGTGAACCTCCATCTTCCGCCCAATTTTTCCAGAATTCGTCAACACTACCTTCATCCCGTGCCTCCTGCCATTTCTTCCTCATTTCTTCTCGATCTCTGTAAAGTTTTTGTAAATCTTTTTCGTCCATTCCTTCTATCCTCTCCATGAATTTATTCATAAACTCAAACGGTGATACACCTGTCTCCATGGCGCCCCGCCATTCTGTGGAATGTTGTTCAGTCTGATATCTGTCACCACCATCTTCATCAGGACCTTCTTTACCTAACACTCGTCCATGTTCAGTATCGCCATTTTCTTCTCTGTTCTCTCTGTTTGTTTCTCTGTCTTCCCCTCTTGAATCCTCCATATTGCTCTCGGAGCGTGTAGCCTCCTTATCTGTCACGTCCGCCATATTTACTTGCTGTATTTTTTGTATATAGACAGTAAATATCCACGTTACCACGAACGAATAGAGCCAAAACTTTATATAATGTGATTAGGAAATTAGGTCAATACGTAATCGTAGTACTGCTGTTTACACAAAGCTCAGGTAGGAACAGATTTTAACTCAGGTGCAATGCATAATTATAGGGAACACAACCTTGTCTTGTCTGTACTCCTATATACTTTGTAAAGCACAAACACTCTTTATAATTAGACAATATTTCCCGTTCTAAACGAGCGATCTTCACCTTTACTGTTGCTTGGTGATAAGAGGATATAGTAACTGTATACATCTACCTGTAATATGTATAAGGGCATCTCTTAGCGAGTTTTTGTTTATTTCATTTTTTTTATGCTATTATGCAGAAATGCTTTCATTCAAGGTTGCAAGGTATTATGGAACCCTTCTTTCTAAAGAAACCACCCGATATTCGTATGACCAAAGCCACGCCCCCTGTTAATGTAAATGTTACTGTTGCCAGTAGAGATAATAAACCCTGGTTTAATGATCATGTACAAAAAATTGCGTAAACAGTATTTGGATGCACTGCATAGTTTTAATAGTAACAAAAATCATACTATTCATGCTGTTTTTATTAGTAAGAAAAAGGAATATAAAAAATGGAAGCAAAGTCTAAGAGGCAATACTTAAGTACGGCAGGTGACATGCTGGAACATATGAGGAAACACAATCCTAGGTATTTTTACAGAAAGTTTGCTAAGAAAAAAGGTAAGTCGCCATTATTGACAGGCGAGCAACTATATGTTCATTTTAAAAATGTGTCAAATGTACAAAACGATGATGACTCAATTCAACAGGACAACATTTTCATTGATAAAGATATTGTGTATGATGAGCACCGATCCTTTTCCATGAAGTAAGACCTGCTATTCGAAATTTGAAATGCGCCAAGCGCATGGACTGGATGGTTTGTTAAATGAATGCTTTATTAACTGTGAAGAATTACTCCTTGCCAATTTGTGTATGTTGTTTAACAATATTTTAGAAGCCGAGTGTTTTCCTGCAAATTGGTCATCTGCTACTATTATTTCTGTTCATAAAAAAAGGTACACGTAATGACTCTAATAACTTTCGAGGCATCAGTTTAATAAGCTGTCTTAGTAAACTTTTTACTTCTATACTTAATAAACGTATTTTAGATGTTTGTACAAAATATGATATTTTAACAGACGGAAGTGAGTACGATATATGCTATATTTGCATTACATACTGTTATAACAAAATCATTGTCATCTAGGAAAAGATTGTATTGTCGTTTTGTAGATTTTCGCAAAGCGTTTGATTTTGTCGACAGGTTAAGCTTATGGCGCAAGTTGACTATGCATGGTATTTGAGGGAAAATGTTGTCTGTTATTTAGTCGCTTTATAAATCAGTCAAGACCTGTGTTTAAATTAATGGGAAATGCTCTAACTTTTTTGAAAACAATGTCCATTACTGTTTTCACTTTTTATCAATGATTTTGAAATGTCCTATTTTGAAAACGGTGCAACATATTACGACTTCTGTGAGTTAAGTTTGTTTCTGTTAATGTACGCAGATGATTTGGTTATATTTTCGGAATCTCTACAAGGCCTGCAGACTCTTCTCTATAGCCCTTTTAAATACTCTACAAAATGGAATTTAACTGTAAATGCGGAAAAAAGAATTGTAGTTTTTAGGTGGAACATTACATAATGATGAAAAATAGTATTACAAAGGAAGTAAAGTCGAATGTGTGGATCAATTTCCTTACCTAGGTGTTATTCTAAATTACAATAATAAATTCACTTCTATCCAAAATCAATAAGCTATCCAAGGTCGAAAAGCTATGGTTGCCTTATCTTCAAAGTGTTCATCATTAAACTTAAATGTAAAATCTATGCTACACCTTTTCGATACATATGTAAGCAGTGTCTTTATTATGCAAGTTAAATTTGGTGTATGCACAAAGTTCCAGAGATCAAACATGTACATTTACATTTTTGTAAGAAATTACTAAACGTGAAGAAATAACAACATGGTATATCTGGATCTGGGACGATTACCTCTAGTTTGGATGAGAAAAATTAGAATGATGAAATATTGCTTTAAGATCTTAAAATCTTAAAATTGTATCATATTCACTTCCTATTGTTTACAATGTTCTAGTAAAAATGGGCTAAAGCAGTAAGAGATGAATTAAATAATCTAGGTCTTAGTGATGTTTGGTTAAATCCATGTATTTCTCAGCAAAATTTGTTATTACCAATGTTAAAACAAAGATTTTTTTTATCAAGGCATACAATCCCTAAGGGCCTCAGTGGAAAACTCTCCAAAAGTATAAAAATATTATAGATTTTAGAGAATCATTACAATTTTACCTCACAAAATATATACCAATGAAATATCGCATTTGTTTAACTCGAATCCGTACATCTGCACATTCTTTGGCTGTAGAAGTTGGAAGGTATACTAATATACCTAGAGAACGTAGATATTGTAAACAGTGTAACTCCCCCTCTGAAGTAGAGGACGAATTTCATTTTTTATTAGTCTGTTCTAAATTCCAAAATCTCAGATCACGTTTTATCAAAAGCTATTATTGAAAAAAATCATCTGTGTTTAAAGTCGTTCAGTTATTGAGTGTCCATAATATTAAAGAATTGTGTATACTAGGAAAATTCATCTATGAGGCAAACAAATTAAGGGTATTATATTGGAATATGATTGTCTTCAATTCTCTGTACATTGCCCATGATTTGTGTATAATATGTATTGTATACTGATGGACCAATGGCCTAAAGTTCGAATAAAACTTGAAACATTCATGTTATCTTTAGAATGCGTCATCAAGTAATTCCACGCAATATGTTCATTCCTATATGTATATATAAATATCTTTCTTGATTCTAAGGGATTTATGTTACAAAAGAAAGTCACTCGTCCATGTAGCAAGGCTAAACCATCTACTATGCAAATCCTATCTAAAGCGCTCATTGATTCACCAAAACTGGCCTTGTCTTGGATCGTGAAGCAGTTAAAGACTTAAATGCGAATTTTAATTTACTAGTCCAAATTCAGTGAAAAAGGACATATTTACAATTCTTGTATTGTGTATAATTACACTTTAATATAACAGCGGAAAGCTGTACAGTATTATTTGACATTATTTTCATGATTCCAGTGCCTGATTAACACTGGTGACTGTTAACAATTATCAACAATTGAAATTTGTATTAGAATGTCCAGCAATATATCGCCAAACCTCTGTATAACGCCAATATCATATAGGTCCCATGGTGACAGTATACATAGAGCGTACTCCATGTTTTGTGTGTTATTTCAAAACTTACATAGATTGTGAAGGCGTGCTTTTACAAAACTTACATAGATTGTGAAGACGTGCTTTTACAAAACTTACAAAACTTACATAGATTGTGAAGGCGTGCTTTTACAAAACTTCATTGATACAGTGAACATATTTTAGCGTTGTAGATTTTTTTATTACACTTTACAGACCCCTCCCCCTTCAATATATTAATATCTTTTTAATATTTTGACGGCGACGAGACTATATTTGTTACGTTTACTCATTCACATCAACAACATCAAATTCTTGCCATCAACAAAAATATATTTATTCAAAGGTAAAAATACAAAAACAAACTAAAATAAATACTGTAAGTAAAGTTAACTGCTGTATCTGATCATGTACGTAAATATGAAGCCTGACAATCAACATATATTGTACAAACCTGGTTTGAACGAATTACTTGACAATCCGTGACATATTCTAACAACACCTATTTCATACACATTAAGTAAACAACACATATTCACAAATGTTTCACAAATGTTCCGGGGATATTTTAACAATGTACATTTCCATCTGAAGCACCTGTCATGTAAAGACTGAGACCGCGTGAACCATTCTGTCCGTTTAATAATTCAATTCAATTTATGTTTTCGCTTCAGAAATCAAATTGCTGGTAGATGTCACTTTCATCGCGCTCACGTGTCCTGGTGGTAAAGTTCTCTTTCCATTCGGAACAGCGCCAGCTCCGGCGATCGTGGTGGTGATGGTGGCTCCACCTACTCATCTTCCACCTCTCCCGACCCATTTCCTTCCATATTTCATCGGGGCTTTTGCCGTCTTTTTTCAGTGTTTGCCATTTTTCCTCGAATTCTTTAGGGTGTCCGAACCTACGCCCCACTGGGAATCTATCCGTCTGGATATCTTCCCAGTATTTGTACCAGAACTTTTCTGTTTCTCCTGCCTCTTTCGATAGCTTCCATTGATTTTTTGTCTCCTCGTTTTTAAAAATCTCATGTCCGTGTATTTTAGTATTTTCATTTTTATCCATTTCTTCAACTTCCGCCTCCCAAATCTCCATTGGTGTCATTCCTTTCTCGATCTGCTCCCTCCATTTCTGTGGAACCCGTCTGCCCATCCCATGCCAAGAGAAGTCCCGATCACTGCCAATGGAAGAACTTTCCTGTCCATTCTCCAGAGAATTGTGGGTAGGGTTTTGTATTTTTGACCACTGCTTAACCCAGAATTCCCGCCTTTCCTGACTAGATGGTGTGTCTATGTTGATTCTAACATCACTTGCCAGTAATTGTCTGTCCACTGTGAACTGTTTTTCGGCCACTTTTTCAGTAAGATGTTTGGCCGGTAGTACAATGTTGCTCGTGGATCCCATATCGTTTTGTGTAGGCATTTTTCTGAACAACGAATTAACGTTAGTATTCAACCGTTAGCTTAGCTCTGCTGTGCCTTCCAAGTTCAATTGATTAAGTCTAGCTAAGACGAGAATATATACCCCTGTGTCTATAGCAGCATTACGAAATCGAGAAGTGGTTTACAGCAGATTTATTATACCTCAGATCACAAGCTGCTACAGAAACCATCTCGCGAAATGGTCGGACGCTATTTCATCAGACACTGGATTGGGAGCAAAATCTAGGTCGATGATGGAAGGGAGGT